TTAATTCTCATGGTTTATTGTCGGCAATTCAAAAATGAAATAATTAGAGCATATGCACAGGATCACTTCTTTGATGTGGTTACCAATTCAGTTGGTCTAGTCACAGCTGTCCTTGCCATTCATTTCCGCTGGTGGATTGATCCTACTGGCGCTATAATTGTGAGTTCAGAGCCCCCCAAACTTCTTATCGTGCTATATTTGATTTACTCTTCCTCTTTTTTTTTTTTGGCCTTGAATTCATTTTATTCACTTCTCTTAAGGAGATCGTCTAAATATTTCATGGGTTCTGGTGCTAATGGATTTCGTGTGCATTATGCCATCGGATATTGAAGCCAAGCACACTCAACCTTAACAGCAGTGCTTTTATATTTATTGATAGCATTTCTTGAAACTATGTTGCAGATTGCACTGTACACAATTAGCACCTGGTCAAGAACGGTGGTGGAGAATGTAGGTTCACTAATTGGGAGAACAGCTCCTCCTGATTTTCTAGCGAAGTTGACGTATCTGATTTGGAACCACCATGAAGAGATCCAGCACATCGACACCGTTAGAGCCTACACTTTTGGTTCTCATTACTTCGTGGAGGTTGACATAGTGCTACCGCAAAACATGGTCCTGAATAAGGCACATAACATTGGTGAGGAGCTACAACAGAAGCTGGAGCAACTACCTGAAGTAGAGCGAGCCTTTGTGCATATTGATTTTGAGTTCACTCATAAACCCGAACACAAGGCCAAGGTGTAATGGTAATACCAGTACTGCCGTACTTCTTAGATTGCGCTCCATTTTCGAGACATAGGCCATGTTTGGAGTGCAGGATAGGATTAGATTGGATTAGACTGATGAGAATATATTAAGTTTAGTGATTATCTGATAAAGTTATATTAGATAAAAATATTGACTTGGAATAGAGTGGATGAGACTATATTCACTTGTGTACACTACAGTTAAACTAATCTATATACAATTTGGATAAATAATTAACTTATTTATGATTAAAGTCTTCAAAATTAGAAAAGTAGAAATAGAATATTCAATACTTCTTTTTTTTTTTTTTTAAATCAGTACCTATTTGTTTCTTGAGAAAATGTGTACGGAAAAAATTGTATAAAAAAGGTTAAATACTTTTTTTCGTCCTTCTACCATAGAAAAAAGTTCTTTTTTTGTCCTTATACCAAAAAAATCTTTTTTTTTTTGTCTTTACTGTTTACAAATCTGGCTCCTTTTTGGTCATTCTATTAATTTTGGCTTACGTGCCACGTTAACTTAACTGGAACAGCTGACGTGGGTATGCTAATGTGTAAAATATGCTTATGTGGACTCCACGTCACTCCACTTCCTCCGGCTTTTTTTTTTCTTTTTTTCCTTTTACCTCCAGGCGAACCCAAGAGCCTAGGTTGGCGAGGAACCCAGCTCACGAGTTCGTGATGAACCTAGACGCCTGGGTTCGTCGTGGGTTCCTAGGTTCGTGATGAACCCAAGCCCTTGGGTTTTAGATCCTCGATTTCAGACTTCTCGTTTCCTCTTGGTGGGATGAGATCAACTACTCTACTTAGTGGCAGGACGGTATCTTCTACGCTCTCTGTGCCGCTTATGCCCTTGTCTCCTTTGTTGCTCTAGTCAGTCTCGCTTTCCTTTTCTCTATTCGATCTCGTGTCTTTCGTTTTTTTGTGAGCTCGTGTTCTAGATCAGTGGGGAGGACGTAGTAGTTGATTGGTTTCGATATGGATGGATTTGGTTTGGAATGATAATGACATTGTAATTGTAGTGAAATTTTCCAGTTACTGCTAATTGTTAATAATGTGCTTTTCATCTCATCCAAGTGATCGAAGGATGGATGTGATTGGTTTGATTTTCCAGTTTAGGCCATTGACATTGAGTGTTGGAATTTCAGATCCTTAATTTTCAATTTCCTGAAATTTTTGCTGCTCTTGGGTTCATTTCCGATTCTGTTGTTGGATGTTTCTAGAGCTGTTTGTTTGAGAAGAACATGCTTTCTTTTTTTTGGCAGGGATTGAGAACCCAGCTTACACCTGGGTTCGCAACTTGGCAGAGATTGAGAACCCAACTTGTGCTTGGGTATGTTGTGAACCCAGGCGCGAGCTAGTTTCATTGCCAACCCAATCACACGA